CCCCTCCTTGGGCCCGTCGGCGCGGTCCCTTCCGCACCTCGGGGAGAACCGGAGACCAGCGATAACCTTCCCGAGGCGTTCCTGAAGCCTGGTTTTGCCCCCGTTGCTCCCGGTATCGCTGCCTACGGGTGGCCCCATCTCTCCAGGGTGGGGGAGCGAAGGTGCGTGCCCCGGGGCTGGGGGACTTCCCCCCTCGAGGGCCTTCATCCCGGGGGGGCAGAGCCGTGCCGTCGTGGTGTCCCCCACTCTGCTCGCTTGTAGGTTGTAGGGAGAGGAGGCCACCATTGTGGGCAAACATACTTTGTCTTTTATGGGTGGCCAAAGTCGTTCCTCTCCCACCAGTCATCTCTCCCCCCTCTCTCTCAGTTGGGGAACACTTCATCTCGTTTTCATCAACAGTAACAGAAACAAAGAAGATCCCCTGTTTCTTCAGCTCTTTCTTTTTCTTTCTGATTTTTTTCCTTTCCTCCCCCTCACGGCTGTGAGCTGTAAAGAAGAAACACCCACATATGTTCTTCCTCACTTACATGGATCTGAAGACTTTACATTTCCAGTTCAATTTCATGACCTGGGATGGATGTTTATGTACAGATCATCACCATATGGATTTTATTTGAAGAAGCAACAAAATAACAGGACATTAAGCACCGAGAGCTTAAAAAAAAAAAAGTGCACCTCAAAGCCTTTGCAGCAGGGCTGTGTGGGGGATGTTGAAGTGCTGTGCCCCTCAGTGGCAAAGCTGTGCTTGGTGGACACTCTGACTCCTTGTTCCCTCTCACTGTAGGAAGTTGCTGTAAAGTTGGAGTCTCAGAAGGCTAGACATCCCCAGCTGCTGTATGAAAGCAAACTATACAAGATTCTGCAGGGAGGAGTTGGCATCCCACATATACGGTAGGAATCCTTCGTATGTGCCAATACAGTGACTTTTCTTGGAACATTAGTGTGAGGCAGGACACCACCATTAAAAGGAGATTTACCTGGGAGGGATTGGGCTGTTGTGTGTGTGGAATACTCCGTTCTGAGCTGTGCAACTAGTTGGGTATCCTCCCCACCGGTCTGCTGCCTCTTCGTGCGTGCACAGTGTGCTTTGAAAGTGAGATGTGAGCAGCCTTTGAGCTGTGATGGGAGCAGTGTCGGCCTGCCTCGGTGCGATGCTGGGGCTGGAGTTTGGGGCCGGCTCTGGAAATGGCTGCTTTCTTTTGTTGCTTTTTTTTTTTTTTTTTTTTTTTTTCAGCCAACATGTCTTCCTCCTCCGCTCAGAAAATGGCGGATGGACGTGATTAACCCTCCCCCTTCTCGTGTTGGGACAAGGGACGTGCTCAGGCATGTATCTTTTCCTTTCATAGTTATGTGCTGTGAGGCTTGAGAACCTCAACCCGGAATGAAATGGCAGCCCCCTTTCTGTTACCCGCAACAGATGCGTCACTCGGGTTTCCGTGCAGTTACAGTGCCAAGATGAATCCCTCCCCATTGCTTCTTATGCAGATCCTTGTTTCAGACTCTGAAACTTTCAGTGGTGCTTACTAATTTCCTGATCTGGAAGAAAATCGCTGGTGCAGCAGACTCTGAGGAGTTCTTTTTCTTGAGATTATTGAGGTGTTAATACTGGGCTAGTTCCCATCTACCAAATCTATTCATCAGAGTGGTTTATGTGAAACTTCAGTATTCTTCAGAAAGACTTTGTACAATAAGTTGTTCTTTCTTTTTAAACTTTGCTAATGATAGTTTTAAAGTTAGGATTTCTTATGCATACGCTTACAGCATAAAGGACTTCTGTTCTTTCAGCTGCAGCAACAATTCCACTTTAGATACTTCATCAAACTGTTGATTCCACTTAATCTGTTAACCCTTCCCTGACTTTGTTGTATTGCACCTATGTCAGTAATGGTCTGTAGGGTCTATTGCAGGGTTGTAACAATGACTTACTCTAGATCGTGTGTTAATTTTAACAAAGCCTAAACCAAGTCTGCATTTGTAAGGTTAATAGCCTCCCCTTATCCTCTTCCCTGCCCACCCCAGCCACAACTGGCTGTAGTCCTGATTGTGAGCTGGAGCTCTATGGTGGAGGAGACAGTGTTGTCTTGGCCATCTGGCCTCATTCACTCCAGCCTTTTGCAGGAGCAGAACAAACATACCTGAATTAATCAGAATACTTGCAGCTTACATGGAGGTGATTATGTGAAAACAGATTTAGTCTTTATTTTTAGACTACAGGTTCCTTTTTTCCTTCGAATGTGGATGCCTTTCACAACTGAAAGACTAGAAAGTGCATTTTGGAAGGCTATCCGAGTATAGTTACATGCTACAACAAGGAAAACTGGGAAAACAGCCAAAGCCAGCAGATATCAGGTGTTTCATTGCAGAACTGGAAAAGCAGGCATTTTTCAACTACTTTTTTTTCTTTTTTTGGTGCTGTAATGAGGCCTGAGTTGCAATTTTCTCAACTTTCCCATGTAACAGAAGTGAACTTCTTGGATTTGGTGAAGACACCCTGAGAGAGTCTTACTTAAAGCTGGAATACTGGAAGCAATCTTGCATGCTTCCTTCTAGCTTCAATTGCAGCAGTCATTTTTAAGGTGCTTTTTCACTCTCTATTTGATGTTCAGGATGTGTGATCTATTTGATAATGTCAGCGAGTCTTAAAGTTTTTCAAGTTCTCACTGTATAAAGCCCAAATACCTTTCTAAAAAGGTATCCTTCAGAAAATTTTTGGGAATACCTTTTTTGTCTTCAGAAGCAGCGTTTATTGATGTCTCTTTATGAGGCACTGCTTGACAGGTTCTTTGACTGGGCTTTTGTTACTAGTTGTCTGTCCTCTTGGTATATGACATCTGGTGATGCTTGAAGAAATCACAACCAGTATTTTTATATTATTTAGGAGGAAGCTGAGCAGGGTGCCCAGCACTGGTTTTCCTACAAAAGTTCATGTGCTCAGTAGAAGCAGAATTCATGGTACTCTCAGTCTAAGGGGGAGGAGTTGACTGACCCGATGAGGTGTATCACTGTGGTGCTTAACAGTGATACGTCTTTGAATAGGTGGTTAGGAAGGGTAAGACTAAGATGAAATTACTGTGTGTGTTGTTTCGGACAGTTCAAGCTTTTCTGACGTGCGTTTTTGGCAACAGCTGAGGTGGGAGAATGTGACTTTGTGCTTAGGTCACTTTGCATGTGTAATTGCTAATACTCCTTCCACCATTGTTTTATAATGGTATGCTGTCAGGTTGCAATAAGCTGCTGTTGGCTCAGTGGACGTAGAAGGATGAATCAAGCTGAAGGAAAATCACTTGATACGTTTTAAGAAACTTCTGTAAGGTGACACCTTTAAACAACAGCAGCTTAGAGCATTTGATAGGAAATTAAGGAATATGTCTAAGCTTTTCCCATTGCCATGTTGTCTAAACTGGGCTCAGCAGCATTTTTGTGCACGCTACACATCTGGGAAATAGAGGCACATAATCTTGCATTCGTCATTTAAGAATGTAGGACTTGTTCTCTCTTTTTCATATCATTCAGTAACGCAAGATCAGCTTACTAGAAGTTACATTTTGTCTTTGCCTCACAAAAGTGCTCTACTGTGGTTCTTTGACACTCACCAAGCTGAAATCATAGGTGAGGCATGGATTGTTCATTCATTCTGGGCACCTGTTCTTAAAACTGAATTCTGCCCCTTAGGTACGATTGCAAACTTAGTGATGGTACAATAGCATATCTGGAGTGTCACTTTAATTCCGAACCAAGCAATCTGGTTTGATAGCCTTTCAGGTTGATATGATGGCCTTTCTGGCTGATTGTGAGAAAGGCAATGAGTAAAATCTCTGTTTTGGAGTTCAAAGATTTTAATATTGCTTCTGTGGGATCAGCTGTGAGCTTTCATTTGTCATGGAGGGCCCAGAAGGGGTGGTGGTACTCACCCGAACAGAACACAGTTTGCACATAAAATAGCAAAAATTGAGACGGAAATGTCCTTAATTCTCTGCATATTCTAAACCCTTTTAGACTTGCAAGTCTTTGACTTTGCTGCTTACTGTTCCCTGCAAGAGCAGCAAAGTTTCTGAACTTGTCTCTGGAGTTTCAGAAAACCTCATAGAAACACTCTTGAGATATTTTTTTGTAAGATGTGATTTGTTGTTGTTGTACAAATTTTGGTGAATTATTACCTTCATTTTTTCGCAAAAGGCTCTTGAACCAAGCTTAACGTTCTAACAATGTGATCTGCCTTTAGGACACAGTGTGGAGTCCGCAGCATTCTGCTGGCTTTATTCTCATTGTTCTCAGCCACCAGCTGAGAGCTTTTTTCCCCTCTCTTTTTTTTCAGTGACAAAGCGGTTTTAGCTGTAACCTTGTTAACTGGGAACTGATCCTGTTAGTGTGCACTGTCTACCTTTATCCCCAGATTATTGGTTCTGGCTTGGAGGACTGCAGCAGAATGGGTTTGGTGATTTGTGTGTGGTGGGTAGTTCATAGTGTGACTGTTAAAACACCCTTGACAAAAGCAGTTGGTCAAGTTACCTGTGACAGCACTTCTGATTTCTGCCATTTATGGTGTTAAGCAACTGTTGCTCATGTCCTTCTACCTTTATGTACTTTTTCAGACATACTTCTGAAAGAAAAGTGGGCTTCAGGCTTTTTTCCTGGCAATATTATGGGATAACTTCTTGTTATTGTCTGTTCCAAATGGAAAACAGCTATGCTGGAACCAGCTGTGGTTATTGCTGTTGTATTAGATTTATTGCACTTAATAGCAGGAAGACCTAGTGAATATGAAACAGATATTGCATATATCCTTGGGTGGGCAAGGCTGAAGAGATGCTGTAGATCATGTGAGGCTGGTCGAAGTGATAGTTTATAAGTTTAGTCATTTGGAATTCTAAAAACCAAACTCTACTGGCAATTCTTATATCTTTGCCACATTTCTTTGCAAACTGAACAAGTAAATCCCTCCATTTCTGAGCTTTTCAATGCACTAAGTTCTTGCAAATATTTTTATGTTGAGAAATTCACTATTGCCACCCATATGTCACTGCACAGTCTTCTGAATAGTGAAGGGAATTGTAAAGTTTCTGTCAAGAAAAAAAAAAACTTACAAAAGTATCTAGTTTCTGTTGTTCTGGTTGCTGACTGCCATGTTGGGTAATGTATTAATAAGAGACTCTGCCTGCCTTCATCTTGCTGAGTTATGCATGGAATGGAAAAATGTGGTCAAGTTTGATAGCTTTAGGGTTGTTCTCACAGCAAATTTTTCCTTGAGCACTTCAAATTTTGATCTCTTTAAGCAGTGCTTAAAAATCCATAAATACATCTCTTGGACACCTTCATTCTGAACTGTTTTCCCAGTAGCTTTCTGCAATATTAAAACCCAGCCCAAAACCACCACTGGAAAAATACCCACCAAACCCACAAACACTCCCCCACTGCTTCCTCCCAACAAGCAAAAACACCTCACCAAACACCCCAAAACAATCGTAACGCTACTGGTCATGTAGTCTGAAAAGTTTTCTCTTTTCCTTTCATAGGCAAGACCGATACTTTCATGTAGGTCTGCAAGTAATGAGGAGGAAGGTTCTAGTAATAGAGCCTCATAGTAATTAACCTTCTGTTATTATTTAAGGCTGCATACTGAAGGGCAGAACCACTCTAGTAGGTGAGAGGAAGCCTCTTGTTCTGGTAGCTCAGAGTGAAATGGAAAGCGAGTATTTTAATGCCTACAGTTTTTCTACTGAGAGAATGAATGTCTTTAAACAAAACCTGTTTCATGTTTTATAACAATCTGAACTAATGTCTTAATTGGTCTTTGTGGACTCCTTTGAAGCATCCAAGAGAGACCAGAGTTTGAAAACAAATGAAGCTGTCCTTTTTGATTCTTCCCTTTTTTCTCCTTGCCTTAGCTCAGC